ACGGTATAATTGAGAATAAAGATTAAAATCTGTAAATTAATAAATCATTAATAAACAAAACAAATTAATTATTATAATTAATATATACCGCAATAAGTGTAGACTTGTTGAGTACAGCAAACCCGGCAATAGTGAAGCCACATGTGCTGCAATTTTTGGCGATATCCTTAAACAGCAATAATTCCCGGAACTCCCGGTCCGTGAGTTGGTCACCGTTGACGGCGTCTAACACTTCCCTAATGTCATCCAATTTCCTGCCGACGGAACCGCATATCACACACGAGACCACCAGTTGGACAGTCAATGACACCGACGACAGCGCTATAACAGTGGACATTGATTTTTGCCATAAGGATGTGGTCACATATATGGACATCATTATGCAACAAATGACCACGATCGTATTGACAAACAAATTATGAGCAATTTGTTCGTCAAACCATTTAATGGACGCTTTTATATTTAATACCAATCGTTTGTTTTGGTGCAATATTTGAAACTTATCGGTAACACCTCGTTTACCTAATTTTATAAAAATATAAAATATTAATTGTAAATAAACTTATTTAAATATTTAGAATATTTTAAATATATAACATACAGTTAAATGAAGTAAATAAATTCCCGGCTATTTTGTCAAGTATATTGCCAGCTAGTATAGAAATAACCCAGGTAATTCCGGCTGTGAGCCATACTTGCCATATCATATGATATGTGTCAAATATTTCAAATGTACGATTTGTAAAATTACTAATTATAACATCTCGAACGCACATTACAGACAGAATTATTGAGTTAAGTAACCATAGTAAAAAACATGTTGATAATCGCCAATTAATAATTGAATCGGGGGCCAAGTAAGGACTAAAATAATTGTGTATATTAACAATTAACTCAAATCCTCTAATATTATAGTAATATAAGGTAAAAACCCGCAAATAACGGATTGAAAACACCATTAAAACCATCATGGGCACTACGAACGTAGGATAATCTTGGTTGCTGAAATGCTTATAGGATTTTATTGAAGTGAATACTATCATTCCATACATTATTATTAAATAGCAATAACCATAGTATTTCCATAGGGTTGATACGTATGGACGACTGTTGTCTAGTTTAATATTTATTCCACCAAATGTTGCCCCAAAAATACGGTTCAAGTATAATGTGAATATAATAAAGTAGTTTAAACGTGAATTTATAAATTTAAACATTGTCAGTGTTTTGGTTTACTTGAACTAAATTTTACTAAAATAAATGTATTTATCTATCGATACTTTAGTTTTATATTAATTTATTATATTTTTACCAACTGTTTGTATAGTAATATAAAAATAAACATTATTATTATTAATAATGAAAATGTTTTTTGTTATTGTTGTATATATTGTTGTATGTGAATTTATTTAATTATATTTTTTCTAAATACTCTTTAATTAAACAAATAACTAATATTAAATTAAAATTATTTTATTATAATAATAATGTTTGTCGTAAATTCAATATTTGATTAGGCAAGCAAATAAACAAGATCATTTTTAATTATCTATTAAATTTACTAATGCATATCTGATTTTTCACCCCTATATCAAACTCAAAGGCCAATGAGAGTATGTTTGTGAGCGCCGGTCCGTAACATTATTATTATTTAATAATAAAATTAAATATAATGTACTCACGAGAATCAGATCGACGGCAAATATTTCAGGCACTTTAAATACACTAAATCTCTACTTTAGGGTTATTTTAATTAAATACATTATTTCTGGTGAAATAAGTATCAAAAACAAAACATTGAAAATTTACAGAATTAGGATGAGTTGGTTGTCTGTAATAAGATGACGGTATAATTGAGAATAAATATTAAAATCTGAAAATTAATAAATCATTTGTAAACAAAATAAATTAAGTAATAAAGTAATTAATGTAAACCGCTATAAGTGTAGACTTGTTGAGTACAGCAAACCCGGCGATTGTGAAGCCACATGTGCTGGAATTTTTGGCGCTATCCTTAAACAGCAATAATTCCCGGAACTCCCGGTCCGTGAGTTGGTCACCGTTGATGGCGTCCAACACTTCCCTAATGTCATTCAATTTATTGCCGACTGAACCGCATATCACACACGAGACCACCAGTTGTACAGTCAATGACACCGACGACAGCGCTATAACAGTGGACATTGACTGTATATTTTGCCATAAGGATGTGGTCACATATATGGACATCATTATGCAACAAATGACCACGATCGTATTGACAAACAAATTATGAGCAATTTGTTCGTCAAACCATTTAATAGACGCCTTTATATCTAATATCAATTGTTTGTTTTGGTGCAATATTTGAAACTTATCGTTACCACCTCGTTGATCTAATTTTATAAAAATACAAACATTAATAAATATAAATAGACTTATTTTAATATTTAGAATATCTTAGTTACATTCTACGACATACATGTAAATGATGAACATAAATTCCCGGCTATTTTGTCAAGTATATTACCAGCTAGTATAGAAATAACCCAGGTAATTCCGGCTGTGAGCCATACTTGCCATATCATATGATATGTGTCACATATTTCCAGTGTACGATTTCCAAAAGTAGTAATTATAACATCATGAATGCACATGACAAACAGAATTATCGAGTTAAGTAACCATAGTGAAAAACATATCAATAATCGCCAATTAATTATTGAATCGGGGGCCAAATAAGAACCATAATAATTTCCAATATTAGCAATTAACTTAAAACCTCTAATATTATAGTAATATAAGGTGAAAACTCGCAAATATCGGATCGAAAACACCATTAAAACCATCATGGGCACTACAAACATAGGATTATCATAGTTGGTGAAATGCAGGTAGGATTGCACTGAAGTAAATACAATCAGCCCAAACATTACTACTAAATAGATGTAACCATAATATTTCCATAGAGTTGATATGTATGGGCGACTGTTGTCTAGTTTAATGTTCAATCCACCAAATGTTGTCCCAAAAATACGGTTCAAGTATAAAGTGAATATAATAACGTAATTTAAATGTGAATTTATAAATTTAAGCATTGTGAATGTTTTGATTTACTTGAATTATATTTTATTAATATAAATGTATTTATCTAAATGTACTTATTATTTTATACTAATTTATTATATTTCTACTTACAGTATGTTTGTATAGTAACATTAATATCAAAAAATAAACATTAGGAATAATAATAATAATTTATTATAGATGAAAATGTATTTTGTTGTTGTTGTAAATATGTTAATTTATTAAATCATATTTTTTCTAAATAGTATTTTATTAAACAAATACCTAATATTAAATTTATTACAATTAGTTTATTGAGTTATACAACTTTAATAACTTGTAAGATTTTTCTTAATCAAAACATTCACGTCATTAGCCTCATTATTGTTGTCATGATGTTAAAGATTTAGTTAAATATAGTTGTTAATTAGAAATATTGTATTTTAAAAGTTGAAAATTAATATAAGATCTATTAAATTAATAAATTAAAACATCAAAAAAATAAATATATTAAATTGTACGTTTTTGTTAGGTTTAACATAAGACACATTAAAATTAATTGCAAAAATTGTCTTTAACTTAACTTGTTTTACTAATTAATTTATTAATTGCAAGGTTATATTGTTTTGATATAAATTACTAAGTTTATAATAAATTATTTGTTGCAATTATCTGTATTCTTTGTTGTAATAAAAATTAATTAAACCTGTAAAACTAAACTTATAGCTAAAATGTATTTTAAAATTAACATTCTCAATAAACTATATGGATCGTAATCGATGTCTCTAGATTTACTAATAAACAATTACTTACATTCATGATTAAGTAATCACAAATTTTGCATTAAATTGTTTATCTATTTATAATCTTAATCTTAAAAAATTATTTAAAGAAAAGTAATATTTATTAACATACTCTAAATAATTTGCATATTAACATAATAATTATAATCTTAAAAATAATACATTTAAAACAATTCAATAGGGTAGAATTGTGCCATCATAATTAATAAAATTCCCAGTATCATTATTTGTCAACTTATTTATCACATCTAACATACTATTAACACTAGTTTCCATTGGGATAGTTCCATCGGTGTCGTCCACATCCCTCTGAACACTGCCCGGGTGTATAGCAACAGCCATAATAGCATGTGGGGCCAAATCAATGGACAAGCATTTAGTAATCATATTAAGGGCAGCTTTACTCGGACAGTAGGGATAGTACATTGTTGGCAGTAAGTTGGGGGCAATAGTAATAGAGCCACCTATAGATGAAATGTTCACTACCATAGTTTTACGCGTAGTAGCTCCTGACTGCTGAAATAAAATTTTAAAAGTAAATTGTTATATTTATTAAAATTAACTTGCTTGCTAAATATTATTGATTAAACATTACACGTAAAATTACATTACTTTATAAAATTAATATACATTACTTTATAAAATTACATTACTTTATAAAATTACATTACTTTATAAAATTACATTACTTAATAAAATTACATTACTTTATAAAATTACATTACTTTATAAAATTACATTACTTTATAAAATTACATTACTTTATACTTTATAAATATGACTTTAAATTGTATAACTTATATTATATTTATTATTAGCATGTAGAGTACATAAATAACCAGTAACAAATAAATACTTGACTTACTTTTAAGATAGGCAAAAGGGCTTTCGTAAGCATTAAGGGCGACACGGAATTGACCTTAAAGTTGTTCACCATATCATCGGCGGTAACAATATTCAAATTATTTCTCAGTACAATTGCGGCGTTATTGATGAGAGTATCCAAACCCCTGTCGCCCACAATATCGGCCACTTGTTTGGCAAAGCCATCAAAACTCTTATAGTCCGTACCGTCCAGTTGTAGGACATGT